AAAAAACGCAAAACTCCATTTTATTATTAACTAATCGAGCATCGCATTATGGTTTAATGTGCAAAAATCATAATGTATTTATCATAATTTGCACGTTTTCACATTCTGTTTAAAAAAAAATGCGCGAAATTTACTTATATTGTTAAATAATCGAGCATCGGATTTAACTCTGTATTTGAAACAGATACGCGGTGTTTATGGGGATCAAGTGCACGATGGTAGCGGGAAATTCTTGAAAAGCGACTCGGCTATATATAAAGTTCCGTATGAATCTGCTTCAGTTGCAAACTAGCGACGATTATATCTTGACTTTTAAACGTGTGTGCAAGTTTGTGTTCTTTTATGTTTGCTCTGTTATATGTTATAAATTTGTGCAGCTGTTTTGTGGAAACTTGAGTGCAAGTTGAATAAATTTACCTCCGTTTATTCGGTTTTCCTCCGTTTACATGTTAACTATATTTTTGAAAACTTATGGAATATATGATGATTCAAAATAAAATAATAAATAAACCATATAAAAATGAGTCATGTAGAAAAAATAATGCAATTTTGAAATCAATGATAGAATAATAGAAATAGAAGTACAAATCTACCATTTACAAATTGTGAAAAAATTAGTATATTTATAATAAAAAAAAAATTCATACATGTGCAAATAAAAATAGATTTATAGGTTGATTGAGTAATTTTCTCCAACTTCAAACTTGGATTTTGAGAATGAGTGTGGCGCATATGCAAACTTTCAGGCTCAGGCCCGAATGAAAATATTTTGGGCTGTCTTTTATGGCCCAATTTGTTTAGCCTACAAAAAGAGATACTTCAAAATAACTTCTGTTATCCCATGAAACCAAAACTCAGTAGGTGAAATTCCTCTCAATTTTGGACACACACCAAATTAACATTTCTTCTTAATCATGAAAAAACTATGAGGAATTTGCACCCCTTACTTTAAGTTATAATATATATTACACTTATACATCAATTATATTCTTATTTATAAATTTACTAAAACAAGCATAAAATATTGCACTTATACCTGAAATGTTGAATGATGCAGATGTAACTGTTATTAAGCAATTATCCGGATAAACTAAATGCAATTGTGATAATTAATTGAAATGAAATATTCACTTACCAAGAACAAATAACCTCTCTCTCTCTCTCTCTCTCTCTCCTATTATCTCTTTCCCCACGTTCACCGCTACTTTTTCAATGTCTCAAAAATTGATATTTCTTCCATTTTTCTTCTGAATCACAGGACCAGTGAACAACAAATCAATCTCCCCCTCACTTTTCCTTCTCGCCCAGACCACAAAATTGACGCACGATATGAATAAAATTTGAAAGAACACGACACCTCTCGGAATAAATTGACGAACATGGCGGCGAATTTCGGCGCAGGGTACCTGACGCCCTTTAACGGGGGAAGAGCAGATCGATCAAATTAATGGAGAAAAAGTTGTCGGGTTTGAGCTTTTCGTCCCTTTTCTTCAAGAGGCTGAGTGCGAAGGGCGGCGGCGGAGGCCCCGGCGGCGCAAGGCCATGGAATTGAAGAGCTCGGCCGGCATGCGGTGGAAGAAGCGGTTCAATTTGCACTTGTGATTCGTCGATGGGGTACTCTTCAATATCGTCTTGGCTTTTCGAGGCCGTCGTGTTGGTCTCCACGCTCTGCGCCTTCTTCCTTTTCTGCTGCTGCCATTTCTAATATATATTTTTAATTTATTTTTTCTGAGTATATATGCAGTATATGTACAGTATATGACCCGCGTCCCTGCCAAAAAATAAGTTTATGTTTAGTATATTAGCAAATTTTTTTGTTGATGAATGTTTGTTTCGGTCAGATTGATTTTCTTCAGTATATTATTAGTTTTTTGGGAGGAATGAGAATTGTTTATTTGTATCATTTTGTTTGTGTTCAGTTGATTTTTTGAGTCTATACTTTGTAGTTTTTTCTTGTTTTTATTGTTCAATGAAAATTGTATGGTTTATTTCCAGTATATTTTTAGTCATGTTTCACTATTTTCCATTTTTTTTTCTCATGACATTAATAGGAAGACATTCGATAGTATGTAATAGTTAAAAATTTTCGGTATATTATCAATATCTTTTCGGTATATTTTCTCATGACATTAACAGGAACAGGTTCGACGGTATATTATCAGTATATTCTCGGTATATTTCTCATGACATTAACAGGAAGACGTTTGACGGTATATTATCAATATATTCTTCGTATATGTACAATATATTTCCAGTATATGTTAAAGCAATATATATAGGCGATGAAGATTTCGTGAAATTTCGTACTCTTTGCCCGATTTCCTGAAATTACGTGCTAGGAACATGGAAGGTTGTTCCACTTACCTTGTAACTGATTTTAAGCATGATTATAATTAATATTTATCGTTTAGGTATATACACAATTTAATTGGTATGGATGGTAATATTGCAATTATCTAAAAATCGGTAAGTATACATGAAAATTTCCTAAAAACCATCTACTAATAAATATATTTATTCTGTTAAGTGTGAATTCCTGAAAGAACATAGGAGGCCTAATTAAAATATTTATAAATATGTTAAAATACATTTGACAATTAAATTAACAGTTTGCAATTGTTTTTCATCTTAATCCACAAAACTTAGCAAGATAAACATATTTTCGACTTTCCAGATATCATTAAGATTGGTGGGAGGAGCGACACAATTAGCCAAATGTAACCCCACAAAACATATCATTTATACTAACGCTAACGTAATTAAGGTATTGATTATGTTGAGTGAAAGTTGGACATTACAAACAAAAAGTTAAATCATATAGAAATCTAATTGGGATTTTTGGAAACCACTTGAGATAGTGAGATTTCCATTTATATCCATAATTCACACGGGTCACTTTTTCCAATCAAACTCATCATATTCATAATAAGCTACAAAATATAGGAATAAGCACTCTTTTGGGGCTATAGAATATCATTTTTTTTTAATCAATATTAATCTGCACCTATATATTAAATGAATTAAGTCATTCGTGGTCTCAGCTTGGCTCGCCTCATTTGAACAACAATAAGTTCAAACTCGACTAAACTCAAAATTAAAAATAAGAATTTACTTAATATATCTTGAATTACTTTATATCGTTAGGGCTTAAGTTCAACTCATAAATTTTGATAAACAATTCGAGCTCGAGCTCTTTATCAATCAAATTAGTTAATGTTCGACTTGTTAACGCTCGAGTCAAAGTTTCAATATTAAGAGTTCAGACTCAAATAGTATTTTTTTATATGATAACAAACATGTCACTTCTCCAAACAAATTTATATTCGTTTTTCCCCGATAAATCTGTTCAGTCCCGAAGCCAACTAGGTGTCTGAGTAATGTACTTTGTAATTTGACTAATTTCTATAAATAAGGTTCAAATTAATGAATATAATTATTTTACATCTTTTTTTTCTTTTTTCACCTTTTCTCTTAATATCTCTAGATCATCTATACATATTGCTAGCACTATAGATTAACTCTATTATATATCTATGAGTGAAATTCCTTTTTGTGTTTTTTTTCCTAGTCTCTTACTCCTTATTAATGTTCATTTTTATCACAAAATCAAAATAAAGATATGAGATATAATAGGCCATTCCTTAATTTATTTTTTATGTTTTCTAAGTTTTATATAACTATTATTACATCCAACATGGATAGTAATGAACATATGTGTGGTTCACTGAACCCACATCACAACCATAATTTATATCACATCATTAACCCTATTCCAGGGTTGCTATAATAATGTGCAATTATTAAGAATTACATCAGAAAGTAGAGGATTTTAGTAGGTCTCATTCATGAAGTGATTAAAAGGGAAAGAGATAAATAGACAATTAAGGCTCCACTTGTAAGTGCACTCCCAAAATACTAGAAGTTTTCACATGTAACAATAATGCCCAATGGAAATTACAAGGTTGAAATTATGAGCAGTAATAATGACCCCTCAAACAAATTCATAGTATTATCTAATATATTTTCTTTGCTTCCTTTACTTTTTCTATTCCTTCCCTTAAGTATTTTGTACAAAATTAATTAATTATCATAATTTTTATTTAAAAATACTTACTCTTTTATTTACGTTATATTTTAAAGTATAAAATTGTAATATGAATATATATGTTATTATCTTGTAAAATTGAATCTCGCCTAACATAATATGTAATATTTTTTTTATATAATTTTATTCAATTTGATCAACGATATCTAGCTACAGGTGAAACTCCTAACAAACTTATATTTATCATACACATTATAAACATCTGACCATATATAAAATAAACTAATTTAAAACCCTAATCTACATAAAATACAAAAGATCAATTAAAATATTAAGCACAAAAGATTAAAAAATTAAAAATAATTTAAAAGTTGGTTTTTTGGTTTCTATGAAATAAGATTCGAATACACGAAGTAATATAAAAGCATTTCAAAAATTTTATTTTTTCATTTCAAAGAAGTAATATAAAAAGCATTTGAAAATATTATTTTTGAGGTGATATTTCAAAATTTTAAAAATTTTATTTTTCATTTCAAAGAAGTAATATAAAAGCATTTGAAAATATTATTTTTTGAGGTGATATTTCAAAAATTTTATTTTTTCATTTCAAAGAAGTAATATAAAAGCATTTGAAAATATTATTTTTTAAGGTGATTCTCACCTAATTTTTTTAGCACACGGTGTAAAATTGGGCGAATTCGACTCTACCCTCATAGAGAGAGCCTCAATGAGGTTTTTTATTCATTAGATTGCACACAGCTACACATACTGATACAAGCAAGTGTGTGTAGATGTGACGGCTAAAGGCCTATGAAGACATTACTATTTACCCACCAAAGTAAATTTGGATGTGAGGTTGAATTTCAGTATTCATACCAGATTTGAGTCATTGAATCAACATGCACTTTAGTCTGGTGTAAGATAATAATGAACTAATTCATGTAGGCATTGTTGTTATGATGAGCACTCAATAAATATTGGTGATGAATGCTTGATACTAATGGGCTATGGCATATGGCCATGAAATCTCTTGATTACATAGNATGGCCTAATTTGTTTGGAAGTTTCCTAATTTTTTTTTTTTTTAAAAAGGTTTTGATAAATTTCAATAAAATTTTATGTTTTGAAATTGTGTTACAATTTATATTTTATTTAGTTGGATAAACGACATGTGTTAGTAATTATGTTCAACGTTATCTACATATCACGCATTTAAT